AAATTATCTTCTTTGACACAGGGGGTATTGTAGTTGACATATTTAATTGCATAAGTTATGTACAGTTGTAAATATAAATTTAATTCAAGAAAACATCGATAGTGAAATAAATACATAATAACAAATCCGTCACAAAACACATAAAAATGTATAAAACTTTCAGTTACTAACCATATACTGATGTTTCCGATATTTATAAAACAATTGCACATGTTAACAAAATCGTATACTGATCCAGACCACATTCTATTATTTTCACTGATGCTGAGAAACTGTGCGTGACAAGTTCATATATATCAAAAGTACTGAAATATTAGTAGTAACGTGATTAAGTTGTAGATGCGTGCCCGGCATGGCCAGGTGATTAGGGCGCTCGACTCGAAGTCTGAGGGTCGCGGGTTCGAATCACCGTCACGCCAAACATGCTCACCCTTTCAGCCGTGGGGGCTTATAATGTGACGATTAATCCCACTATTCGTTGGCAAAAGAGTAGCCCAAGAGTTGGTGGTGATGACTAGCTGCCTTCCCCCTAGTCTTACACTGCTAAATTAGGGACGGCTAGCGCAGATAGCCCTCGTGTATGCACTACCGGCATTTGTGCACGTACGGCTTCAATAAAGTTTTTATTGTGCAAATATAAAACGTTGTTTTTAATTATTTATTATAATTTAAAAAAAGAAAAGCCCTCGTGTAGTTTTGCGCGAAATTCAAAAAACAAATTGTAAATGCAGTCACATTCGTTCTGGTAGTGAACGAAGCAACACGAACTTCTAGCTCAATACAGCGGGCGGGAAATCGACAAAACAAAGTACTCTCACTGGCACAAGCAGGTCGTCGGAGTCGTCTACGGAAAGCCCCAGCGGGATAAATAAATGTCAACGCCGAGCGGGAGCACTGCTTCAGGTAAGGCTGGTTTGACTATAGATATATTAGCCTCTTACAGTCCAGAACTAGAACTACTGATAACATTAGCAAAACAAGAATACAACGAAAGAATGGCAAGGTTAGCTTCACGTAAAACAAAGAAAGCAGTTAGGCTAACAAAAAAATGACACTTCTATGGAAACTAACGAAACTACAGAACCACAAGAAGAACACTCAGGAAAATCAATACTAGAACACAAAGAAGAATACAACAACACACCTCTTCTTCTTCTGTAGCTTTTCCCCATATCTATACGGGGTCGCTATTTTTGGTGTTGGTAGGGTTTATTACGGCCGGATGCCCTTCCTGACACCAACCATCACCTAATTCAGCAGTGTAAGACCAGAGGGAAGGCAGCTAGTCATCACCATCCACCGCCAACTCTTGGGCTACTCTTTTACTAACGAATAGAGGGATTGACCATCACATTATAACGCCCCCACGGCTAAAAGGGCGAGCATGTTTGGTGGGACGGGGGTGCGAACCCGCGACCCGCAGATTGCGAGGCGAGCGTCCTACCCACCTGGCCATGCCGGGCCTAATACAACAACCCACCTACACAAACTAAACACAAAGAAGCACATGGAAACTCACACGACCAACTAGGGACACAATAAGAAGTACACGAAGATAATCTCAAACAAACACAAGAAACACCAGAAGATCCAAACAAACAACACAAAACAAACAATCATACAAATGCAGCACAAAAAACACACCACAAAACGCAATTATAATCCAAGGTATCCCAGCACAGTACAGGGAACCACAACTTGCGGCTGAAATCAAGCGATGTAAGCCGGAAGTACACATTACAACAATAAAACGTCTAGCCAAGGGCGGCGTCCTGGTCAAAGGATCAGAGGCCGCTGACCTGAACCGACTACTAAAAATATGGCCCCAAGGTGCGTTTGAACCCGGCAAGATAACAATACACTTTCCAGGAAACAAGCCCAACCCTAAGTCTTTCGTCATTAAGAACATACACACTAGCATTACTAACGAAGAAATCCAAACAGAACTCACACAGAAAAACATTTTAGTAACAAAAATAGAACGGATTTTCTCAAATAAAACACAGAAACACACAAACCTCATAAAAGTTCAAGTGCAAGAAACACATAGAACCTAATATCAAACGGGATTATATAGTGGTACAGAAAATACACGGTAGAACCAACCAAAATACCTGCGGCAGTGGTAACCCAGTGTTACAACTGCCAACGGTATGGACGCTATTACCACACTTACTACTTCTACTATAGACCCAAAGTACAAAAACACCCAAGAATAGGGCAATACACACATACAACTTGATAACATAAAACGGACATGGCCCTGAAAAGGAAAGTACTAACAGAAATCATCAACCCCATATCAAACCAGCCAACCAAAAAACCTGAACTAAAGAAAAACTGTAACAACTGTATAGAAGGGAGGAAGAGGTCTACCTGAACCTAACCCTACCAGGTCGTAAGAACGACCTAAATCCCGATCGGGAGAACGAAAGCAGTCACATTACTACAGCACACGTCATATACGGAATCAGACGTGCTGATGAAACATCCACAATGTTTATAGTTGTATTATAATCGTACGCCATCACGATGTACAGTTGTACTCGTAGAAGCTACGGTAACTGGCACAGACACAAATGTAACTGTACGCAAACACGTTCATCACCGACAGTAATGTTACATTACTGTATTACACCAATCAAACGTCAATTTTTCATTTTGTTCTTATAGAACACCACTTATTACATTAAATAAAAATTGCTACTAAGTAAACTGTTACTAAAAGTACTCACATTATTCTTATTCTGTTATGGCCCTTGGATTTAGACAAAATGAAAAACACTAAAACATCGCCCATGCTCGACCACACTAACACTAAACAATCTCCATAGTAGTTAACATACCCGTCTAAATGCTCATAGTTTCAAAACAAAAACAAAATGTTTAATCCAATTCTATCAAGCGGTGCATACTCATCTTTACCTCCAGTGGCACAGCAGTATGTCTGTGGACTTATAACTCTAGGAACCTGGTTTCGATACCCGTGTTGGGCAGAGCACAGATAGCCCGTTGTGTAGCTTTGTGATTAACTTCAAACAAACCTCCAGTCTACATTATTTCCAGTTCATAACATCTTGTTTGATGCTTGACAAACACCGAATTTTTCTAATATGTTTAATCACATATCCGATGCATCAAATGATAGATTATTAGGTAAATATGATGTATTCATTTATTCACTGGCCCAAGTTCAAACGTTTCTATAGAGATTCGTGGATAACACATAGCGAAAATCCGCATTATTAGTTACTGTCAATGAAATATGCTATATGTCAGTATTTTTCAATTCGGATTTTTTCCCTAACTTGTTAACTCCAAATTATTGACATTAAACAGTGCCATTCATATTTTACTTTTATACGTTTCCTTCGCTGTCAAAGATGATATTCTACCTGTCTCTTGAGGATGTCGGTTGTCAACGACTCCTACCCAAGCTGTAGTATACAAATCATGACGTAGTGTGCTATAGGTAATACTTAGTGATGTGTATTATGTTTCATAATGAAGTAAATCATTGTTATTATTCTAGTTATTTCTGATAATTAATTGAATAAATATAAGTAGATATTTGTTTGCTTTGAATTTCATGCAAAGCTATTCGAGAGTTACTTGCGCTGGAGGAAAGACAGTAAACACCACCCACCGCCAACTCTTGGACTACTCTTTACCAACGAATATTGGGATTGACAGTAACATGACACACTCACAGTTAAAATGGCGAACATGTTAGGGGATGGGATTTGAACCTGCAACCTACAGATTGCGAGTCGCGTGCCCTAATCACGAGGCCAAGTAAAGATATGAAACAGAAATAAAAATTCTTCAAAACCCTAAAGATTTGTTCTATCTTTGAACAGCCACCCATTACTGAAAAAATCAAACTGCACATTTCAAAATTTTCCTACACAAATATGTCAATGATGTGATATACCTAGGGTATTATGTGTTCCTTTCATGACTACTGTCAGAAGGATAGTTTTATTTATGCACTGCCCCGCAGTGGCACAGAGGTATGTCTGCGGACTTACAACGCTAGAAACCGGCTTAATTCCAAACAAACAAACAAAATTTATGCACCAAATTTGTAACTTATGTAACAGAAACAGCATATATCTTAAAGCCATTTTAAAGAGCTTTTAGGCTGTAGTAAAATGATCTTCCAAGACGTTTAAGAAGATGAGACGAAGCCGTATCCAGAGCCCTTGCACCCCGTTTAGGCGGGAACCTAGCTATTGTTTACCTAATCTATTACAGTGACCTTCATACTTCATAAAAATTACCGGTAAATAAAACGATCAATGTATACAAAACATTGTTTATGCATAAGATACGCATACTGGCGTGCCAAATGCGCCAAAATTAACTGGTGTGTGTGTTTTTTGGCGCTGACAATAATTCGTTTTTCCGCCATCTGTGTCCTAGAAACATCACCGAATCACATAAACTTCACGAATTTTCCCGCGATTTTGTGTGTAAAATGAATTTCCTGGTAGAATTTTTCAGTGTATTCGTGGTAATAGTAATGAAACAATTTCTTGAAATGACGACTAATACAAACCCAGTAAAAACATAATTATTTACTTAAACCGGATATCTTGGCATACGCGTTTTTCAAGGGTTTGCAGACTACTGGTATTGAGCCTTGAATATTAAACACATCTATTAAATTTCAGAGAGATAGTTTAAAAGATCTATTACGACACGATGTGTTTTTTTTTACCTTTTAGAAGAATCAAGAGAGAGAGAAAAGAGCAACAGTGAGAGGACATTGTGTCAAACTTAGCTCTTAAACTGATAACTCGACTCACACTAATTTAGCAAATATCTCCTTCCCTACCACGACATCGGGTGGAGAAGTAAGTTCCAGTCCAGATCTGGAACTAAAACTCCAATCCACCGAGGACTCACCAACTCCAGTTACCCCATCACAAATGGGTACCAGATTGACCAGTAAGCCCTTGTCTAATGCCAAACAGCTCACCATGATCCAGAGTTGTATCGAACTGGCCTCCAGCAGTTCAAGTCAAGTATATCCAAACAACTCGCCCAGCACCACGAGATACAGCAAGAGATCCACACTAACTGACCAAGCAGCCAGCTCACCAACAAGCAAGCAACCCACGGAATCTCAAGTATCAATGACTGCCAGCCAGCAACTCAAATGAATTCCTTTCACGACAATTGCTGGAGGATTGTCGTGAAAGGAATTTATGCTAACTTAAGACACCCAATAAAAGCCTGCAAACTAAGACTCTTCCCAAAGATTTGCTTCATGACCGTCCGAAGATTAGTCAAAGGAGGAGTTAATAAAACTAACACCCCTGCAGAATACGCCAAGCTCCTTAAACCATAGGACTCCGCAACCTTCCAGAATGTCAAACTAAACATCCATGTCCCTGGAGACCACCAGCCAGAAGCCTCACATGCCATCATAATTAGAAGCGTCCCACTGGACATAACTACAGAAGAAATACTCCAAGAACTAAAATATCAAGACATCTCAGCCACCAAAGCTGAAAGGATAAAATCTGCCAAAACTGGTCAAGAAACCCTCCTAGTATGAGTCAGCCTATCCAACATAAACCACGCAACTGATCTCATCAAGAAAGGTGCTAACCTGTGGTATATCCATCATCCAGTTGAGTCTGCAAGACCGAGACAACCAACTTTTCTACAATGCTTTCACTACCAAAAGTTTGGCCACACCCATTCTGTGTGTACGTCCAGAGTGAAGTAGCTGAATGCCCAAGACAGTGACACAAAGCCACATGCTCCAACTGTGGAGGACCGCATGCCGCCTCTCCTCCTACCGTGGGTGCCCCAACAACCAACAGCCATTCAGGTTAGCCCAAGCAACCAATGGACCAACCCACAGAGCCTCGTCCATCGAAGCCCAGTAAGCCTGCCACCAGCTCTCCATGAACCTAGGACCACCACCTGAGCAGAAGCCAACCAGACCAGATCCAGGACCCAGCTGCTTTAGGACTTACACAGACACTGCAATATCTTCGTCCCAATCTTCGAACCTCGCCAACTGCATCACAGCCTTTGTCGTGGATATCCTATCCCGTCTCAACAGAAAGGAAATTGTTACGTCTGGAGACCTACTAAATGACGGCTGCCATGCTGCCGGATATTACTTCGCCCTCCATAGAGTTGACCCCTACGACTTGAAGAACTTAATCGATGGAAGGATTAACCTCACTGCTCCTAGGTCAAGGTAAAATGCTTACATTTTTGCAAATTAACATTCAAGGTGGGTTAAATGATAAAAAATACGAACTATTTAACCAAAATTTAAATGCAGATATAATAGCAGTCAATGAAACCTTTTTATCACCTAATAGTCATTTCTCCTTCCCTAGCTATTACATTAACGCTATACCTAAATCACAGAATTCTCAAGGGCTAATGTTACTTGTCAAGAAAGACCTTAAAGTCTCATTTCCGAATCTAAACATAAACTCAAACAATGAATACATCTTATGTAACATTCACACTCCCCATCACGCAACAATCGCACTACATGCCACTTACATATCACCCAGCAAAAAACCTGATATTCACCTTCTTCAATCAATCAAAACATGCACGCAATTATACTAGGTGACCTTAACTCGAAACATTCCGAATCTAAACATAAACTCAAACAATGAATACATCTTATGTAACATTCACACTCCCCATCACGCAACAATCGCACTACATGCCACTTACATATCACCCAGCAAAAAACCTGATATCCACCTTCTTCGAACCGTATATATGTAACATTCACACTCCCCATCACGCAACAATCGCACTACTTGCCACTTACATATCACCCAGCAAAGAACCTGATATCCACCTTCTTCAATCAATCAAAATATGCACGCAATTATACTAGGTGACCTTAACTCGAAACATTCCGAATTTAACTGCCGAAAAACAAACCGTAATGGCAATATTCTTCACGATTTCATTGATAACAACAAATTATTTGTCTTCAATGATAACACGCCAATCCACACACATCACAACGGATCACAAGACATTCTCGATCTTGCAATCATTTCACAATCGTTAATACTACATACAAATAGCTTTAAAGTATTTGAACACATCGGCGGCGATCACATCCCCATCCCATTTTATATAGGTATCAACCCCCCGCAACCATTATACATATAGTCTCTTGGATAATCTGTTGCCGGTATTACTGGTAAGGTGGAAACAGGTTGACCCAGATCATACTGTGTCAGGGCTCAGGGGATGTCGGCAAAACCGTGTCCGTCTCTTTGATGACCTGAAAAAAACATAAAAGATGGAAACCAAAACAATGCCATTTTTCCTCATATGAGAGATTCTGCCCATCAAAGTGATTGGAAATTAACAAGAACTTTATACAAAAAGAAGAATCGTTGAAAGTTGCTTAATCAAAAACCTGCATAATTTCAACACCTCACAAAGTCATTGTAATTTTAACAACTTCCAAACCTCCTGTGTCCTTAAGGGAATTTCAAGATGAGGGGTCACGTAGGCGTTTGTGGACCAATTTTTCCTGCCAGAAGACAACGTGAGACTGAAGAGGACGCACGAATGTGTCGAAACTAGTTTCTCTGATATCAGACTTCTGACAGTTTGTTCCGTTTACTGTGGTTTTTCACCATCTGAATGAGAAGTGTCATGTCCAATATCCAAGAAGCCGCCATGGTAGCGACGTTTTTCAATATTTAGCTATAGGGTAGGTATTTAGAGATTTTAAATAAAGCTGCTGACAAACCTGGCGACTTTTATTAGAATCGAAAATTAAGTGTAATAAGTAGCATGAAATTGTGAAGTGAATAAAAAAAAAATTATTCATATACATATGTTGAATGAATAAAGAAAGAATTATAGTTCTCGGTTTCCAGGTAAGTGCCCCCTGCGGGTATTGAAACCTTACTTTAGCGTTACAAGACCTTAAATTTAATTAGTCTTCATATATTTTTCAATATTTCTTTCAACTTTTCCGTGACTGATTAAGATTTTTTTAGAGCAGCCTTAGAATTAGTTATCAATTAACCTAAAACAACATGTATAGTTAAAAAAAAATTGAAATAATAAGTTTTAAAATAGGTCGTATTCGTATGAACAAAATCTAATCAGAGTGCGAAAATGTTACCTTAAGGTTTACATGATCTCAAGTAGTTTTGACTTATAGTTTAAAAAGGGGGTTTACAAATGTATTACTAACACAAGTATATAAGATTTTACCCTTTCAGTCATCAAATATATATATTCTTAATAAACTCTCTCTAAAAGATTTATTGTCGAATTTCAAGCATTTCGGCAAAAGAACCAGTAATACCCAACAACGACATCTACTAATTTTAATGTTTAGTATTAAGAATGTATTTTGCACGTGAATGACGCCTTTCAATTTTACACACAAAGATCGTGGGGTAATATACCACCTATTTACCGCTTGTGTTACTTTCAGCGCAAAAGTACACAATGGGCCATTTGGTGTTTTTCGCCATGGAGAATCGAGATCTGGATTTTAACATTTTAAGTCTAAAAACTTATCTCTGACTCATAGAATGACATTTTTATCTTAATTTCTTAGTCAGGAATTTATATCAAATATTACTATAATGAAAAAAAGGGCATATACGTTATACATATATGCACCCCTCCCCCAAAATGTTTAATTTCATTTTGAAAGTTACACTTCACTTTTCAAGCCTACTATCACTTACAATAATCAAATTATAGAATTTAAAGAATTAACTCAGAAGACAATTTTAGATATAATTTGAAAATAAAATGTTTTAAGTTTTATTGATAAAAGATATAGCTTCAAAGGATAATAAAAAATGATAAATGAACGAACTATATCTTTAGGTTTAAACTTATATAATCAAACAAATAATATAGTATTGGATCACTTGATTAGATTTTTTTTTTCTCCAATGACATGGTCTTTTTAACGCTATAAATATATTTGATATGAACTGACTTTATGTTGACTTCGCGCCATAAGTGAGAAAATTAAATCTTGGCAAGAGTTGAAGACTTCCTGAAAACATTTCAACAAATTACCTGTTTTATAAATAACCCGAGTTTAATCATTCATTAAATATAAATTATGTTTTACGTTAATTCCTATGGTTGATAAGTTTGTGGGTGTTGCAACCGCTACACCTGTAACACATTGCCATGTAAACAGAAATTTCAAATGCTCAATGTTCGGTGGTAATAAAATGTTCCAAATGATTGTTATAAAATCTGGAACACAATCTGCTCTTCAGATAAGTAGTGCTTAATAAATTCCTAATATTCCACGAAAAATGCATAAATATATGGTTATGAAATGCAAAAAATACGCACATACTGTTACCTGAAAATAATATTACACACATTTGTGAATTTTTGTACATTAATTAAACCCCTTATACATCGCCATCTACTGTCTATTTCTGTAATGCACATTGAAAATGACGGAGTTCATGTTTGTTTTTTGCAATACTTAAAATTAGTGCAAATATATATATATAATTACCTTTCAACGAATGTAAAATTTCGTAAATAGTTTGCAAAATCTGACTATAATGTTTAAGGACAGAACTATAAAAACACTTACTAATCTTTAGTTCCAATACTTTCCCAACTCTCACAAATTAAAATATACACAAAAACAGAAAACAAAACTACGACGAAGTTAGTGTTTTAATCACTAAATAAATCATACAGAAACGAGCGTAGTAACCTTGTAGACTGATATTATTTTACTTTGTAAGTAGCCAACTGAAAAACATAGCAGGAAAAGTCGAATAGCATCAACTGCCATAACACTTTCTCTAAAAGACAACAATAGGACAGCTTGTTGTGTTAACGTGAATTTTTTATCACTAGAAAGCACCTATCGAGAAACTTTCATTAGATGTATTGTTTTAGAACAAAGATACACTATGAGCTATATGTGTACCGATGAGCCACTGGGAGACATTTCTTTTAGAAGCTTTATAGTTATTATTAGAAAACAAATTTAAAAAATTATTAGTTGCTTGTCATAACAGTAACCATAGCCTAGTTAAAAAGCTTACACTTATATAATTTATCATCTACTGATAGCACTATGGTAGAAAAAAAAAAGTTAGGATAAAGTTGCCTTTTTTATCTTTTTTTTTCAGGTACCAGAGGGGTACCAATAAAATAATTGTGAAATTTCAAGTTCTTCAGAAAACATGTTTAACACAATATAACAAATACAGCGTCAATGATGCATTGTTTTTTTTGTTGTTGTTTGTAGACTTCTTACTCTTTATAACTTGCTATGCATTATAAGAACGCGAAGTTTTATTTACAACTTATGATATTTACAGCGCATAAATATAAGCAAAATATTAGAATGCTCAATATACTGGTTGCAATTATTTTTATCGCTTAAATATACCCAAGATCCTACAGGTTAGAAGAATAAGGCGTTTCTTCAATCGTGTTGTAAAGCAAGCTATATGTGTTTTTCTAGGTTCTATTTCACACCTTTGTTTTACTTTTAAGATTATTTTAGACGTAATCGACACAAGATGTCACTAAAACATACATAAAATACACTATTTTTGTCATAAACTTCAGAGTCATGTTAAAGAAATGCTTTGTTAAGGTATTAGTGACGCACTACTTATAAGAAAAATACAATCACAAGTATGTACTCCACTTAACCCAACAATCACTGACAGTAGCGTTTCGTAAAATATTTCAACATTTTACAATTTCAAGTTCCCACGTAACCAGAGTCTCATAAGTAATATATAATCCGCATCTTAACAAAAATAAAGTCAAGAGTTATACTGTTAAATCGAAAAAAAAAACAATGAATATACTATTACTTAATGTGTTTGTCTGACGTAAAACGCCAAGATACAAAGAATTAGGTTTTTTGAATACCTTAATTACGTTTACAGACTTTATGTGAACTCGCTGTAAAAATTTACGAATTGCGTTACCCTTTATTGGAAATTAAACTATTTAAACCTTGTAATTTTGGTTAATAATGGAAATGTAGTGAACATAACTTTCCTGAACCAATATATACAATTATTAATGCACGATGCTATAATTAACTTGAAGCGTCACAAAAGCAGTAGTTTCAAATGTTTAACTTTGGTATATTGATACTAGATAGGAATATACAATTAGTCATATACACATGTAAGCACTAAAACAGCGGAAATATATGTTAACAAAGAGTGCACACTTTCCTTTCAAAAATAGTTTCAGAAACAAATAAAAAAACTTAAGTTATATGGTAGTGCACAAAAATGTATAGTGAATGTGCCTATTTGATTGAATAATTGCATTTGGTAAATTTTTAAGTTCCTCCTGATTTACAAGAATACACATATTATTACTCTATAACTCTTATTCATATGACACGTTTCTTAACATACAAAACACAGTATCATCCAATAAAATAGAAATCACACATCAATTACTCTGGGTTTCGATATTTTTTATGATATTATAGCTCTTTTGGTATTAAAACTGATAGACAAAACCTATCAATACAGATTTGAAAAGCATATTAATCAACATCAAATTACGTTTCTGAGTAAAATCATACTTCAGCAGCTTAAAATTTCAACTGTCTCTTGTTGCCTGCATCATTAGCACACCACAAACCCTATAGCATGTTAAAAATACCTGCTTTTTCTTTAACAACGGGAACTCTAAAAGGGTTATAATGACATTAGTGCAGGTACTGCTGCTGCCAAAGAGCTCCTGCATTAATTTCTAATTCAAGCATTACATAATGCTCTATAGTGGCATTACACAATACAAACCATACCATTATACTCCAGTTTGAATTACAACAAGCAGTCTTAACAAAATGCATTCATTAATACTGATGTAATATTCAGGAAATATATAATAACAGGCCCTTCAGTATTGACGTTGTGCTTTCAAATGCACAATTAGCAACTTCCAAAATATCCCACATATAGTAACTAAATTTTTACACATAAGGAATTACAGTAACAGGCCCCAAAAATACAGTTTCCAAAAGCACATAAAATCCTCTAAATGATCACCTGTTAGTGAAACAGTAATTTTAAACTGTGGCCAAAACAGTAATAAATTCATGCAGAATACATTCATAAACATATGGAAGGCACATTCTACATGACTGGTAGTCTAGTAATAGTTTTAACCCTTAAGTATAACGTGTAAAAACATCATGTTCAAAACTTTCCTAAAGACTTTTTTATATCTAGACTACAATAATATTAGCAGTGAGTGTGGGAACCAACACCTCGTTCCTGATGGATCTAAATCTGTATAACTACTTGTAAAATATTTCCTCACCCTGAAACAAACATCATTAAATCCACTTATAAAGTTTTCTCACAGATCACTGTTTAAAGTATATATATATTTTTAATCTAACTAAATCTTCACGAATTGCATTGGAACACTGAATAAAAGAGAAACCCATACCATCAGGTTTTAGTAGTTGCAGCAGTATCATCATTTGTTAAAAATTAACTGTAAAACTATAAAGTAAGAGAGAGAGAAAAAAAAAAAAATCACATTTGTGGTGCATCATGGGATTGCTCTTTTAGTTTCTTACTGTGAATGAGCAGGACATCTAGAGTAACATAACTGATATTAATATACAACATGAACAAACTCAAATTTTCAGGACTTTTTGAGACGTCTCATATAAAACATAAGCTACTTTAACATATGAGATATTTCATTATTTGTCATCCAGGTTTCAAGACCCCCAAACTTGTAAACACACTCTATCCAGATACACAGATCAAAACAAAATATTATTTTACAATGATGACTTCAATACAATACAAATTATACAAAATCATTAAGAAGTATTCCAAGTACTGATTATTTTACTAAAAAAAAATCTAAACAGTTATAAATTTTCTAACATGAGTCCAGTTTTTACAGTTCTGTTCTTTTGCACTCTAAGATAGAACAGATTTATAATATGTACTTAAAACCTTTCTCAGGTTGGAAGGAATGGAAAAAATTGTACATTCGCAATATAGCCTTATAGGAATCATGCAGTCGTAACTTCACCACTCACTTCATATCTCAAAAAATTTTTTAGTGGAACTTGACCAGAAATGGATCAGTAATATTAATGAAGAAGGATAATTAAAATGAATTGGTTTAATCACAGATGAACAATTTGTTATTTGCTCTTACAGACAAGAGTTAACATTACTCTGCGACCACTGGCCTGATGTGACTGGTAAGTTTATGCATACGACAATGGTTACTCTCTGATAGAGTTTCTCGCAGTTGAGAGGGTTCACTTTCATCAGACTGACTACTTACATAATCTTGATCAGTCTCTTCTTGATAGTCCACTGTTTTATTACACATTCGTCGTGAACGTCTAGATGGTGTTTCTACAGACTGATTAGAGGTTAAGGCACTTCTTGTAGCTTTGGTGCTGTTACGTGTGGCAGTTCGTGAAGACCGTCTGATATCATTCTTGCTTGCATTAGCAAAATCTTTAAAGCTTGTAATTTTCTGATATTCACAACTTGTTTTGGAATCAGACTTACAATCTAAACTTCCACTACAGTTACCAGAACTTCCACTGGGCTTGGAACTATTTGAAGTAGACTCATTATTATTACTACTGTCTTTATCATTTAAATCTTCAGAAAAGGTGTATTTATTTGTGGAATTTTGAGACCTTGAGCTTCTTAGTTTATTCCTAAACAGTGAGCTACCCTCATTTTTTCTTGTTGAGTATTTTTCTAGAGGAATGGGCTGCCTATTAGATTTTCTAACATTTTCCCTTTTTCCAGTTCTAAAACCAACTTCTGTTATGATTGTTTCGTTCAACTTTTCTCTTTTTACTAGATTTTTATTTTTCTGTTTTTTGCAATAAACTCTTTTTTGGTTTCTTGACTTTTTACCTTCACATTCTTCTTCTACAGATGTCATTTCTTCACATTGTTCTGTTTTCAAGAAATTACTAAAATTTCTTACCTTCTTTTGCATATTTTTATCTCTTTTTAAAATTACTTCATCATAATTTTCTTCACCACTTTGGGTAGCTTCATCAAAAACAGTGCTTGTTCTTCTCTTTGAACATCTTTTTGAAAACCTATTCTGGTATGTGTTTATATCTGAGCTAGGTTTTGAATCTGAAAAAAATTTCCTCTTTCTTAAAAACCTGCTTTTGAATGCAGAATAATTAGGTTTTGTTCCATATCCTGTGTTCATTTCTATTGTAAGATTAGAACATTCACGCATCCCAGATTTACGTTTTGTTGATTTCCACCGCATATGTTTCATATGAACTACATCAGTCAAGTCACTTTTACTGCTGTTCTGCTTGGAAGATCTTCCTATAAACCTTTGCTTATACCTGTGATCATTATTTGGTTGTAAATTAATGTTCTTCTTGTTCTTTAGTTTCCTATTAGATGCTGACATTATTTCATCTTCAGACCGATTACTGTCACCACCACCACCACTGGAAGCTTTCTGCTGATAGGGCCCCAACACGGAATTTGAATTCTCTCTTCTGCTTGTAGCAGTCGATGATCTAAGTGATCGACTTTTCTTTACAAACCCATTACTCATGTGTATGCCTGAGTATGAAAACAGAATATAAATTAAGTAAATACAAAATAAAATACCATTTTTTTCCCCATTATATAATCATTTTAGCTTTAGGATCAAGTATATAAAACCGAAAAATCTTTCCATATGCACATCAAGCTTCTCATTAAAGTGCATCTTATGAGTTACCCTAAATTTGATAACATGATATCAAGTAAAACTGAAACTGCATGTAGCATTTAAGGATAGTTGCCTGTTTTACATATAGGTGACCTAAACTTATAATAAGAAAAAACATTAATATTTTCAAAAAAAGAATATGATTTATTTTAGGAGTTCAGTGGACTTCCGTATGGAGACATTTCAATCCATCAGAGGTAGGTCTGAGCTAACAGGGCAAAAATTTGTCTCCAAACAAGCTTGAGCATGTCTTTTAAAACTTTAAAACAAAATGCATCATAGAAAGTAAAAAATACTAAATATAATACCATAAAAGTTTAATTGAAAAATAAAATCTGACATTATCAATAGGGTATTACCAGTGTCTGACACCAAAATGAAATTGTAATGATAAGTTTAATTACTAGAATACTGCAATTTTATTTTGACCATTAAAAGTTCATCTGCATTCTGTGTATCAGACATGTGACCTATCTGTGAAATGTCTAAGATCCATAGATATCTTAAATGAATATGTTCCCTTGACTATGACAAAATGTTTTGTTCAGCAGACTACTGTGTAGTTCTAGCTCGATAATGCTAAATGTCATAAACAATTACTTGTATCTGAAGTGACAACATTAGTGTCTTGGAATGGCCTGTCTAGTTGCCAGATCTTAAGAATGTGTACACCTGGAAGGACAGTTGATTCAGCAATATGTGACAAAGGCATGCAATGAACTAGGTTCCAATTGTTTATTGTTCTGTTGCTTTCAAATACTTAGCCAAGTGATGATGACTGGATTTCGCAGAGTAGTAGCATTAGTCAGGTCAAGGATAACACTGCATTTTTTTTGACAGTCATCACTAGAAGCATTCAGTACATTAACAGTGAAGTATAGCTCGGTATTAATTTTCTGTATGACAATTATAAACCAATTAAAACTGTGTACAGTGTATGTTGCATTGTTCTGCATCATTTCATCATTAGAGCATTCACCCATGTATCAAAGAACGTGTTTTGTTTTGTTACTAGAGCAATCCAATGTTGTCGACTACTTTCCAGGTGTAGTGTTTACCAGTTACTACCATTTTGAAACAATGTTGTTTCATTAATAGAGTGGTAAAACATTGTCAGACTACTTTACCAGGTGTAGTGTTCGATTACTGTACAGTACTGTACTACCAATATGTATGTGAAGTAATGTTGCCATATTCCATTACTAGGGCATGTTAATGTCGGACTAGTTTACTGGGTGGAGTGTGATACATTGTCCACTGCCCAAGATGGCAGAGGATGTAAGCACGTTGTGTTCATGCACCATTGTCTATGCACATTTTTTCTGATGCAAAAAAGCTTTGTTTCATTCTTCCAACATGGCTCCAAAGCATGTGATAGTGATAGTAAAGTACCCCTCGACAAGAAGCTCAGGAAAACAATTAACTCTGGTACTAAATTGTTTAGTCCTTCAGTGTTTTTACATGCATGTGTTGTATAGTACACTGTAGTTAAAAAATCCATGTTACACTCTTTTAAAAAGTTATTCAAGAATGGACCAAAAATTTTCAGGAACACATCCCCCATAATACATCTAAAGATTGTGTTGCTTAACGTCATTTCAGACATACGCCCCACTTTCCAGGAACACATTCATTTGGTATTATTAAATCATAAGATATTTTTCTGTAAACAGTCACATAAGAAAACAAATTCAAGTATAATTTATGCTTAACTGAATGATCATCAAGCACTAGTTTCTGTCATGTTTTTATCAATATAATAAAGATACTGTTTCATCTCTGTTCGTTTGTTAATTTCCCGTAGAAATTCTTCCCGAGAAACTTCAGCGATACAAGTCCTTTCTTAAATAAAACTAGTTTATTCTTTCTCAATACAACTTTGCAATACACTTAATTTCCACAGTCACTTAAACACACGCTATAATTCTCAATGAACGTTTCACGCACTTTACCACGCTTCACTCAATTGTATGTCTATATCTTCAATCTCTCTGTCCGCTATTCAATTCCGATGGATTGTCTCGTTTTATCTGGCGCACTTATATACAAGAATAGAGGGCGCCTAGCAAATACTGGATTATTTGTGATGTTCCCCGATTGTTCTAGAATCTCATGACGTGTTACTAGCGTCACGTGACTAATGCTGTCGTAACAATACTTATGTCAAATACTGTTAAAGAATATGTGTGAGATATATAAGAGAACTCCTTAATTTGTCTAATTTTGGTCAGTTGTGAATAATAAAAGCCTTAATTTTGAAAAATAAAATGTTAATAGAAATTTTAAAAATGATATAATAACACATTCATATTTCAAATTTTGATGATCATAAAATCATTTTGAAGCAATATATATGTTTTCAATATAATATTACAGCTCTAATACCACTAAAACCAGTAGGTAGCTCAAAAACAGTTAACATAACCTTTTTTTAAATTAGATTTAAATGTCACCACTTATTTATTATTGGATTTCAAAAATGGCTGAACCAGAAGAAAGCCTATCCATTTTTCTGTCAGACTGCCCACTGAGATATTTTCATAAATGAATAATATATTCTAAAAAAAAAATGGCAGGTGTATGTGCTACCTTAAGATAACTTCAGGTTGATTTGGCTTCAACTAGAAGTAGTGTTATATTATGTTGATTTAAATTCTATTAATGATTTTTTGTATATTTAAACATTGTATGTCTTAATCTTTTCTACTTTGTGAATAAACGTTTATTAATTGTTTCAGAATCTGATTCTACAATGTTTACTCAGTATTGTCCATTTACTCTTTGTGAAGATCAACAAGAGAAGCTATGACTGGTTTAAAGCAATACTAATTCTATGTGGCTTGGTTACCACAATATCTTTAATAATCATATCATCCCATTCAAAAGATTATCCTTATACCTCAGTTATATACACACTGTTGAACACATAAATCCAATTAAGATCCTTCCTATTTCAAACTTTACTGATCCTGAACTTTTTCTTTAAAGCTTATCCCAAACTCTAAGTAGTGAACAGAAGTTGTTACATAATTGTTTTTTACTTAAAAGTTTCATATAAATAATCCCTGAAAAGTGTTTTATATGAGTACCACTTGTAATGCAATTTCATGAGCTAATTTTCATTAATTCATAAACAAGTTATCTTATGCTGCATCCTTCTAAATAATACATCTAGAAGCTGTTGTCTCCATACTTGTCAGCAGTACTTGGTATGAACCTGAATTATTTGTTCAGGCCAATCTACTTTGGGAATGAAAATAAAACAACCATGAGCAAAGTTTTATGCTCAAAACTTAAAATAAGATAGTATTAATAATAAAATTTTTAGTAATGAAAAAATTACCTAAGTGTCTTTTATGGGTGGTTTTAGTTACTACTCGTGTCTTGGAAAAGGAAGTCACACGATTGTTTTCATTAAACCTCTTTTCATTCTCTCTCGAGCTCAGGGTTCCCTTCTTTCTTTTAGAAGCTTTAGAAAAGTTGGAAAAAAATACATATATATATACATACAAATACAAACATGTTTATTAAAAATTATCAAGTACTGTAGCTACAAATATTACAAGTAAAAATAACTGAAATATAAAAAAATGTAGTAATATCAACAAGTAAAACATTTTTTAAAATCAGGTTGTAATGATTATGTTTATATTTTATTCATCCGATAAATTTTCAGAAAACTTTGGCAATAATTTTACAAAATTTCCGATCTTTCAAAGAAGGCTATAAAATAACAAACAGCATTTTCTAGTTTCCTGGTGCAGAACAATGTGACAAAATTCTGTTAGAGCACACTTCTTTCTGAAACATATATACCATTTTACCATCACAGGTGATGCCAATGTTTTTATCCAACTTGGGTTTGAGACATGATAACAGTTACACTTAAAAGAATGAAAAGGAGCATACTCGTGTAAATCTAAGTTATCGTAGCTTGTAATTCTGTCAACATACTCTTATTAATTCAAAAATTAGGATTAATGTTAAAACAATCCAAGCTAACTCCCCTTCACTACTAAGCATCTGAGTATTTTTGAGAACTCACTTACTTTCCTTCAACGTAATTTTATTTCTAGAGGATGTTTTGGCAAAAACACTAAAAATATACCTACTGCATTTTATTTTTTTACTTTGACTTGAAAATTACAATTCCTTCTTTTATGTTATCTTTAAGTCTTCTTGTAAGACTAAAATATTATTCTGTACTTACAAATTTCTCCCCCATTTGAGGAACTGGGACCTGCTTCATCCAGAGACCCAGACCCTCGGTTGTGACTAGTTCTAACAGTTAGGGGTTCTTGTTGACTCGATGATGAGGCAGCCCTCAAAGCAGGATGATTTGCAGGTAGACTGAGCCAATCAGCAATTGCTAGTGGTAAGGGCTTTCTACGATTACTAGCATACTTATTATTGCGCATCTTTTCCTCATATTTTACTGCTGACCGCCAGTCACTTGTGATTGCCCTGATGTGTTCTTCAAACATTGCTGACAAACGAATTGTCATGCCATAAATCTAACAAAACATATTTAAAAGTATTAACTAATTAAAAATTATCTTCAAATTTCTTTGTAATGAAAAAAACCAAACTGAAATTAAGTAATATCTGATACTTACTCAATCATATTCTGTTGTTTTAATTATGATACAATATACATAATCTCTAGAAAAAAAAAGATGTTAAATAAGTACCACTTGTAATGCGATTTCAGGAACTAATTCTCACTAATTAATATACAAATACTCGGTCAAAGATATCTGTTTACTGTTATAAATATATCAACAGTTGGCATACATGGTTACATGTTGCCCCAAAAAAAAAATAAGCTACTTCTTTCAATATAATCATCCAAAATAATAATTTAAATAAATGTAAAACTTTTAACTTTGTGTAGTTCCTCTCAATCCAGTTAGGAATACACACCACAAAGAATTTTTACATTTTGCATGTTTGGTGTAACACAATACAGTAGTTGAAATCACCCAAAACAAATATTTTAACATAAGCAGAGATGACAACCATCCCTACTTTGATGAATTCATTCTGATTTTTAATCCTAGATCATGCCATTTTGATCATACTATTTGAAATCTGATTTCTTTTTTTTATACATTTTGCAGGTTTGGTGTAACACAATCCAGTATATTTGTTATGAGGGTGAAATGAAACACCACCACCATAGAGACTGTAGTCATTTAAGCATTTCTACTTCTACAGGTGTATTCAAATCAGACTGAATAAAATATTAACCAATCAGAAATCATATTGGTAGTTAGCCCATTCAGAAGTTAAGACAGCCACATTAGTTTAATTGAAAAATCAAGAGAAAAAGAATTCAATATACCCATATTGGAATGACACCCTCATAACAAAGACAAAAGTAAAGTCACAGGTAAGTTTACTACTTAAATGATACTCAAAAGTAAAGTAAATTCAAAAATAAGAAAAACAAATCACAATAATTAGAATATATGAAAAACTTGGGTACTGATACTGTACTCTGGCATATTAGGACTAAAGATTATGCTGAGACTGATACCTGAAATGAGAAGTCAAGATCAAGACTAAAGTTTAAAAAGCATGATCCAATCAGACTTGTGTTGTATAGTCAATTTAAGCCTTTCACACTGGTGTTCAAACATAGCCATTTGCTGTTATAAATATATATATAATCAGTTGGCATACATGGATATATGCTGTCCAATAAAAATAGTTTGTTGGTTATTGCTTTTGTTTATTCTGTTAGCAGACTGTTATTATGTGCATTGAAGATATGTAAGTTTTGGTTGCTTTTAATTTTGGGTTTTATAATTTTCATGCTTTCGAAATTTGGAAACAAAATTCATTTGCCATTGTAGTATCTAGAATTGATACAAAAGTTAGCAAAAGAACCAGTACTAGTTGAAACTTCATTATCATGCAATAATTTGTGAGTTCAGTGTATGACAATCTGAATAATCGTTCCAATTTTTTTGCCTCCATTTTCTTTCTGGTTAACAATGTTTAAATAATGAGACAAACATTACATCTTAATATTTTGTTACAGTCACTTAAATTTCAAATTCATGTGCATGTAATTAATTTATTAACCCTTTATCATCTCCACCCGTATATTTACATCAATTATGGGAATGGGAAAAAAAGCTTGTCCATAGATGATAAAGGGTTAATCATTGTAAGTAATGAAAAAACTTATTACTAATTATTCAATCATATTCAATGAAATATTATAGCATTAACAAACGTTGAATATTTTTTGCAGTAATGGGCATGTATGAACTTGTTACTGATAGATGACCTAATGCAAGCTGTTAGCTACTTGCCTGAAAAAAAACATTAATGTAAGAAACAAAAAGTAAATGACAGCTGTTTCATTACAAGAACTGAAGCCAACACTGACTTAGCAAAATAAGACTTTTGAATAGCCTCATTGTTAGTCACCTATATATAAATTCTGTAATCGAAAGAAGATTGTTTAAAAAAATGTTTCTCATAAATTGTTATAATAATAATAAATTATCAATTTCATGTTTAAAAATCACATTGAAAAGGTACTGAAAAAAAATAACCTGGACAAATTTCACACTATAAATAACCTATGTTTTACATTACGTAGTCATATCATATGGAACTGTACACAACCAATGAAAAACATGCTTTCATGAATTCCAATAATTACTGTTAGAGAAGATATAAAAAATGAAAAAAAAATTCAACCATTTAACATTTAATAAACAAACAACAACATTTATTACTTTATGCAAATCTGTAAATTTAGAACTTAAATTCAATTAGCTTTATCAACAAATAGTTACCTTTCACCGAATTATTTCTATTAAAAAAATTACTTGTAGAATGACAACAAAAATCTCACCCTTGATCTTTTGTTAGTATTATAGTTTCTTGAATTTTGAAAGATGAGTCTCATATCTTTACAAAACTCCACGGGAGTGTTGTAATGTCCCGTTTGTAACCGTTCTTTGACTGTGCTAAGATCTACTGGATGGTCAATGATATCTCTATAATCCTACAAGAAGGAAAAAAAACGAACTTACAGATATCACTCCAATAAAAACAAGCAAGTTATTTATAAGTACTAGTGATACAAAAAGAAATAAACAGATGCTATTCAATCAAATGATCTAATTCTTAACAAACTTATATAGCAGACTCAATGCCCAGTTAACTTATGAATACTTGAAATGGATAATCACATTTTTGTAAAAGAAATAGGTACCCATTTTAGACTCTGTGTAATATGTACTGAAAAAATCAAAAAGTGTGAAAAACAGAGGCAGTGGGTATAAGAGGCTTGGAAAGCCTTAGGTTTCCCAGATAAACTATTCCTTACATTGCACAAGTGTCACCAACTCAAAAACATTATACATTATATGCAGAAAGTGACACTGGAAAGTATTGAAGAAATGACTGATTCAAGAGGCAAAAAAAATTACCAGGAAAACAAAAGAATAAGGACCTGAACAGAAGGAAGCATGGTGGTGGAGTGAAAAAAGTACAGCAAACTATTAAGGAAAAGAAAGAAGCCTTCAAAGAATAGAAGAAGGATGACTACTCAAGAATGGCATATAAAAAAAGTAGGTGAAGAGAGTGGTAGCAGTGGTGAAGAATGAGCCAATTAAAAACTGATATGACATCATGGAGAAGATGAGACCAACCAGAGAAGAAGGTATATAAAATAGCCAAGCAAAGTCAAATGGCAAAGCGAAGCCTCACAGTGATCAAAATAATTAAGGACAAAAAGGGAAAACTCCTGACAAATGAAAAGGTAGTAAAACAGACATGGAAAAAGTATTACAAGGAAACTACTTAATACTAAAAATGATGCAGAAGAATTAAAGGGGACACCACTAACAGCAGGCCCAGACTGGGTGTCAGTGGGAATGAAGTCAAAGAAGCAATCAGAAAAATGAAGATAGGCAAGAAAGGAGGTCCATCAAAGATTGTTACTGAGATGGTCAAGGCACTAGGAGATGATGGAGTTAAGTATGTATTGACATTGTTGAAAAACATCTGGAAAGAAGGACAGATACTTGAAGAATGGAGAGAGAGTCTATTGACACCCATCTACAAGCAGAAAGGAGATGCTCTTGAGTGTGAAAACTACACAGGAATTAAACTGGTCATGCATCTGTTAAAAGTGAAAAAAAAACTACTGGAAAAGAGAATAAGATACGTTGTAGACATTGATGAAATACAGTTTAGATTTCGGCCTGAGAGACGAACAACAGATGCAATCTTCATTCTGCAACAGTTGCAGAAGAAGTACCTTGAAGGATACAAGAAGTTATTATACCATGCATTTGGAGATTTGGAGAAAGCATATAACAGGGTGTCACAAGAATTAATATACAAGTGCGTCGAGAAAAAGCAGTGTCCAAAAAGCTGATCAGACTAGTGAGAAGAAGCGACAACAATCATGAAGATGATATGTGGAGAAGCAAACAAGTTTGAAGTAAATGTTGGGGTGCACCAAGGGTTAGCCATTAGCCTCCTGCCATTTGTCATTATCATCAACATTTTGAGTAAGGAGTGTCATAAGGGACACCTATAACAACTGTTATTTGCTGATGTCCTTGTCCTAACAGCTGAAAGTGAGCAAGAGTTACAAATGCAGGTTAAAGTGTGCCAGAAGAGTTTTGAAAGAAGATGCTTGAAAGTTAATGCCTGAAAAATGGAAGTCATGGTGAATGGAAGAGGTAGAAAGATGAAGGTTAAAATCACATATGAGAAGCTACTGGAATAGGTAGAAGACTTTAGGTACTTGAGAAGTACAATCCAAAGATAAAGAGAACATGAGAAATCTGTGAGAGATAGACTCCAAGTGGGTTGGAGGAAATGGAAGGAAGTAGCCACAGTCATCTGTGACAAAAGGTTACCAAGGGCACTGAAAACCAAAGTGTATATGACCATGATTAGACCGGTGCTCACCTACGGACGCTGAAGAAAAAAAAAGAAGGCTTGTTGATAAGAACAGAAATTAGAATGCTGAGAAGGCTGTTGGGAATGTCACTGAAAGAGAAGAAGGAAATAGCAAGGGTCTGTAGAATAGAGGGAAATGCAAGAGAAGCAAAGCTGAGGTGGTTTGGTCACATGAAGAGAAGAGAAGAAAAACAAGCAATAAGGAGAACATTAAAGTTGCTAGTAGCCAACAAGAGAAAGACAGGGAAGACTAAAGAATTTATTTTTTTTAGGAGCACAAACCAATTCTTTTTAACTGTGTGACAAAATAGCCTACTCCAGTGTTTCTCAAACTGGGGTCCTGACCCAAAAGGGAGTTGCAAAGCTATTATAGTATGGTCACAAGATCACAAAAAACACCGCAATAACATATATTTTAGAGTATACACAGTAATTTGCTTCACTTTGTGTGTGTGGGGGGGAAAACATCACAGCTTCAAATATTTTCAAGGAAGGGATACAGCAAAAAAAGTTTGAGAACCCCTGGCCTACCCAAACAAAAGACTCATACACTGCCTATGAACAGAGCTACTGTGGTAAGCAAAGCAACCATGTTTCTTGCCTCCTCAATTATTAAAAAAATTGTGAAAATTTGTATATGCTTTGTATGAGTCTTAATATAAAATGTCAGTCAAGAAAGCTTTTAAGTTTCCTTAACTTTAGTTATTCATGAGACTGGATGAGTCACCACAGACATAATGTATTCTCAACTTATTAGGAAAGATTATGCCTGAGGGCATGGCACTCTTTGATTGCATAGACTGTGGAATTGAAACAGAGATAAGTTATTTGTTTGCTTGAGATAGATTTTGGTTTTAGTCAAACTGTTCTCCCTGTTTTCATACAGATTATAAATTTTCAGCTTTTATAGATTAACTTTGAGTTTTAAACTTTTGTTTTGTGTTTAATTCACCCTTTCAACACTTTCTTAAGCTTAACTTAAAAATCTGGTTTGTTTATTGAGAACTAATAAAGACTTATCCCCTTTCCACTTTAATAGAGTACACCTTGAATGCTTGCTTTTTTCAGTTTTTAACTCTGATCTGTGTTTTGAATAAAGACCATTGCTGTGTACAATTTTGTGTCCAGTCTCTTCTCTGTGTCAGACTCAGTCAGAGCCAGATATATGATCTGTGATACAGTTTCTGGCAAAGCTTTAGTTATCTTAAGGCTTTCTATTCATTCATATTCGAACATGAAAATTATATATATATATACATATTCTGTTAAAATTACTATGAAGGCCCACATAACCCTTGAATGCCTTTAAAATGTTGAAATGTGAAAAATATTATTAGGAAAACAATTCTTGTCCTAATAATGAAGTTTACTTTGTACATTTTTCTTTTCTCAAAATCTTTATGTATAATTACAGGAAGGAAATCTCTGATAAAGTTTGTTACTTAAAAATAACATATGTGTTAAGAATCTCTAAAGACAAAAATACTTTCAGATCACATCCTTATAATAAGACTCACAGATCTTGTAACAGCCCTATAAGCTTTCAAACAGTATAAGTACGAGTAAATCAATAGAAAAAAATAAGATTAAAGCACTAAGATGTGAGCAAGTCCTACAGCTTGCTAGAAAAGTTTAAGTACAATATCAAATTCAAATAATTCAGGAGTTGACAAAAAGTTAAGGTGCAGGATGTATTTAGGAATAAGGAAGATTTATTCCACTGTTATAAATAATGCATTACAACAAAATTTAACATATTAAAGAAGGTTTTATAAAAACACTACAGAAAACTGGTATGGACAAGAGAATATAAATGGAAATCATCAGCTATCACTATAAACGTTAATAAATGTGATTAAGTTTAACACAAATGACATGGCTTGTTCAAAAAAATTATCAATTTCAGTGATAATCAAAGTAATATGTGCACATGAAAAAAGAAAAAAATTGTATATAATCTTCTTTTGTATGTTAACTCCGAAAGATTAAGCCTACAAGTGTTGTAAAAATCATTTGAATTGGTTGATTTTTCTTTAATATACATTGATACTATTTGGGAAATAATGTCATCTGTAAACTCAGTTGTATAAGATTTATCTCATTATATCAGATTTTCTGGTTTACAAAGGAATAAAGTTGTTATTTCTTGAAAAAATCAGTTATGTTATTCTTTTTCAGCAAAACTTCAAAGTAGGTTTTTGTTTGACAAATCAGACCATCCAGCTTGATAGAATACTGTAGAGTCATGTCAAATTGTTTATAAAATAAGCAATAATTTTTTTTAGTTCCAAAAAAATTAAATCACATAGATACAAAAATTGCCTGAGATAGTAAAATCTGTCATAACTTTACTGAACTTAATGGATTTGTTTATTACCTTTATTATGATACATTGGGATGACTATAATATTGTTACGACAGCGGAGGTCATGTGACGCTAGTGACACGTCATATTCTCGAAGGTTCGTGAAGTCTCCAGCGTTTACTAGATATGCGGTATTCTTGTGTATATAAGACCGGTAAGAAATGATGGCAACAATGTATGTAATTGAACTGCAGACAGAGAGAGAGACTGACGATTGAGTAGAGCACGTGAGTCATTCATTGTGAATTACAGCATTTGTTATAGCGTGACTGTGGAAATTAAGTGTATTGCAAAGTCGTATTCAGAAAGAATAAACCAGTTTTATTTAAGAAAGAACTTGTATCGGTAAAGTTTCTTTGGAAAGAATTTTTACGGAAAAGTAACTAACGACCAGAGACGTAACAAATTGGTGTCACAGAGTGGGACAAAAAAAAAAAAAAGGCAACGAGAAGCGACAAATCAAACTACAGCTTAGCAGACTTAATGGCAGCAATACAAGAACAGCAAAAGAAACAAGAAGAGAG